CCAACACCCAAGGTCCTTCCAAGTCAAAATGAGGAAGTGATGGGTAAAACTACCGTCAGTAAGAATCATATCATCGGGGCATAGTCACCAAAAATTTGACCAAATCAAGTCGTTTGCCCGCGACGTTTCGGGGTTTCAGGATCAACGAGTAAATTGCTGTAAACGACCTATTTACAGTACCAGTAGTTGACGAGCTTGGCCCATGTGATTACGTGGTTTATGCCAAGATGCAAAACTAATAAGTCGACCAAGGTCGGGGGCATGTGCGACGGCACCCGAGCCCAGCACTTCCACCAGAGCGCCCACTACGCCAAGAACAACCACTACCTATGCTGCGACAAGACGAGGACCAAGTCATACTGCATGACCATCGCCCAGGCTCAAGCGTGCGGATAGGAGCAAGGGATCGCATTCTACCGGTAGTACTGTAGCTCACAAGCTACAGCTAGCAATGTAGCAAAGAGAATAGAACGATCCTATTATTGGCCAGTTATTTTCACCTTTCTATCATATAATTGGACAGAAATTTGGTAAGGCAGCCTGCCTTACGAATTCATCAAAAAGATGCGTTTAGAGGAATTTAAATTATTCCATACAAAGATGAAGCTTCATTCAATAAAATTTGAACTATTTCAGATCGATTTATGGAATTCGTAAGGCAGCTCACCTTGCGAGCCTACTAAAACCTACTGTTTCACCTTACGAATTCTGTATTATGAGCATCGCACATGCAGATATAAAACGTGTCAGTACAACAGCCAATGTCCCTCTCCAACAAGTTGGATGACTGCGAGGAAACTCCAGACTTTGCTTTTGCCAACCATGAATGCCTCGATTTTGGCCTTCCATAACTTCGTGTTATGATGAGTTTTCGCCAGTTCCCGCATCTCCTAGTGAATTGTAGCACCATCTTTTCAAGTGTGGTTCCTGTTTTACGTTACACTTCCTGGGGTATGTAGTCATTCATACAACTCCCTCACTATTGCACATTTCAAAAGTGCAAATTGAAGGTATCTGCAATTCTCTAATCACACACAGCGAGGACATGCGCTGGAGAGCAATCGTACAGCGATGAACGTAAGTGTCATATCATAGATAACCACGCCATCTCCTGATTTATTGCGTAGTACGTTCACGTAGCATGTACTACTACTCGATGGAATGAACAGCCAAGGGGTCTTGTCACTTCACATGGGATTATTCTTGGTCAGAGTTATTTGGCATTTATAGTGAGTTAGATCAACACGACGAACAGTACCTAGGCAATCAATCTATCGTGGTTTATCGTTTAATTTAGTCGTTTGCGGGGCCATAAAAACGAACGCTGCCGTCCGCGGCGGCGGTGCAGAGCCACGGCTTGACTGGATGGAAGGCCACCGCCGTGACCACGTCCGTGTGTCCGTGCAGCTTGTCGAGCGTCCGACCCGTGCGGAGGTCGTACAAGTGCGTGACTTTGTCCTCGGAGCCCGCCGCCACGTATCGCAGACATGGACTGAACGCACAGCCCACCGCGTGCACTCGGTTGGCATGTTCGCCGAACCGAAGTACGCAATTATCGGCGCGAATGTCCCACAGATGCATCGCGTTGTCGCAGGCGGCGGACAGCACCAGGTTGGACACGTCTGGCGAATGGCTGACGTAGGCAGAGGCTTGCGGGATCACCACCTAGACCCATAAACACACTCCATATTCTAACGATACAGAGTGAACACAAGTGTAGCCTAAATATAGAGGGCGACCGTATAAACTAGTAGATCATTCGCGTTCCTTTACAAAGACCATCACACAGTGTCACATCCAACAAGTTAGCCCATCTTGAGAACGACCAGAACGTGGTCAACGCCTTTCATGGCCATACGATTTCAACTGTACATCATTCTCGTGAAAAAGCCCATCACACAGTGTCACATATAACGACGTACCGTGTGCGGCGCGCGGGTGGCATGTGCTGCCTGGATCACCCGCGCCGTCTTGCCCACGCTCACGTCGATGATGCGGATGCTCTTGTCGGACGCAGCCACGACAAGCAAATGCGACAAGGTGGCGTTGGCACATGTGACAGAGGTAATAGCTTTGACCGCGTCCAAGTGGTATGCGGCGACCTTTTTGGCTCTGCTGTGGTTCTCGAGCCTGGCAATGTCGGACGTGTTGACGTGCTGCGCATGCTTGTCGTCGACAACGTACTGAAACACGTTCACTTTATTGCCCATCGCCACGACCACAAACTTGTCCATGTAATAGAACGCAGCGTCGCAGATATCGCTTCCACTTGTGGAAGGAAGCGTGAGAGACGCCACGTCACAGGGCACCCCCCACACGCGAGCCGTCTTATCGGTGGACGCTGTGACTAGGTACCGTCCAGAGAGGCTCCACCGCACAGTCTTGACATGATGCTCGTGGCCGACCAACAAGTCGGGCTTCTTCAACGTACCGGCCGACGTAACTTGAGCCAATCGGTCGTTGCCGGCAGATGCTAAACTAGTTCCATCCGCGGTGTATGCGACGTGGTTAATACATCCTTGGTGCCACTTGAGCCGGGTCTTGGAGCTATCTAGCCGGGTCAAGCGGTGACTGTCCATAGGATACGACGGGAAAGATGAAGACTTTGAAGCGATGTGGATGTTTTTAGTCCTAGATGAAGTCTTGACGCAGGCGGCGAATTTCGACGATGGCTTTCGTTGTTGTGAGGAGGAGCCATATCCACTCGATTTGATCCGACTGTGAAATGTCACGGGGTGATCCCCCTGGACTTTAGAGTGCTTCGAGACATCCTGTAGCTGTAGTAGTAGTGGGGAGAGGCACAAAATAGAAGTCTTGGGGGGGGATGTTTGCGGCACCATCGACAGAGATTCCGATTGGTTGTTTCTGCTGATGGAGCTGTAGTTGGAACCATCTGGCTCGGTCATATTGAACGCGGCCGCCTTTGAATTGGCGGTGACTTGTAGCCGAGTGATACATGGCTGGAAGGCGCTACTGATCCACATGTTTATCAGTCCCGGGTCATCTTCCACTGGGCTGGGAAACGACGACGACGGTGCTGCTGCTGTTGTCATGGCTACGCTAGCTGCCATTCCCACCACCACAGGCGCGTGAGCTTGGAATGAATGGACGGTCGTCAGTTGATACGACAGCGCATCGACACACATGACGTGGTTGGTCGTGCCAACTAGAAGCACTTGTCGTGACGCTGGCAAGACGGACTGTAGCTCTAGCTCAGCAGCTAACACGACGTAATGTAAGCTTAAGATTGTGCACGCCACTTCGACCACAGGCGTCGACTTGGCGTCCAGCTCTGGCGGCAATAAATTCCGACTACTCGACGCAGCCAGCAAGTGCCTCGCCATGGCGCTCGCGGTCGCATTCTGGCTGCGCGCCCACGGCGGCAACGAGCTCACGACGTTTTGCGTTGCCGCGAGCGTCGCATCCACGAACGCTATGACCTACGAGTAACGACCGATTCATACAAGTTATTAACAGTTAGTGGTGTCGATTTGATACAAATAGGGTGCAATCGATCTGATTGGTTGTTGAATTGCATTGAGAAGGTTTTGATTGGCTAATAATTGTGAGCTCATCGGAGGTAGCCAATCAAATCGATTTCAACATTGAACTAGTAGTAGTATGTGACTGAAATTAGTGTGACTCTGGACGAACTGTACAATCGATCGATGATAGATTTGGCCAATAATCAGCACAAAAGTCAGCCAAATTTTGGGTAAAAGGACGAAAATACTCCCTTTCTGGCTTACGTGGTGATGCTGTTCCAGCTTGTGAATGTGCGCTCCGATAGCCAACGCCGCTAATTCCGTGGCAAAGTGATGGTAAATGCGCACTGTGCCGTCGGCAAACCCGATGCAGATGTCGCTTGTGGTAGGATGGATCGCTACTGCGAGGATCGAATGAGCTGACAGCACCGCCGACTGGTACCGCAGACACTGCTCCGCCAAATCCCATACCTACTCCATGCAATATATATATATAGCACTGTCTCGGACACAAAAACAGATATGCACCTTGAACGTGCGGTCTTCCGAGCCCGTGACGAGAACGTGCGGCTGCTGGGGATCAAACTGAATGGCGGTGATCTAGCAAAGAAGGCTGTGTGAAGGTGTGAAGAGGTAGATTATATATGCGGAGAGATAGGGGAGAGAGAGATGTTACCTTGGCGAGGTGGCCTTCGAGCGTGATGTACACGGCTTTGGACTGGACTGTGACCACTTCGACCTGGTTGTGGTACGCTAGCGCCACGAGCCCCCCGCTTGCGTCGAACTCGACGACGTTCACACAACACCGCGGGGACGACACCAGCATGTGCCGCGTCGCGGTCAACCCGCCGCCGGCTACCGAGATGTGCCACACCAGAATGCTGCATACCATCATGTCAATGAAGGTGGGACTATGGATGGAACACGTGCTTAAGTTTGTACCAGTCAGAGGACGCTGTGCAGAGGAGATCGCCCTGGAAGGCAGCGCAGCCGACGCGATCGGCATGTCCGGTCAGTTCGCGACTTGTCTGAGGAGTGAAGTGGTGTGCCGTGGTTGGGGAGCTTGACGTGCGCCATAGCTTCAGCACGACACAGTCGGCGTATTCGAGTGCCACACAGACATAGCGACATGACGCGGCGACGCAGGTGACAGTCGCATCTGGCCTCCACTGCTCCCACACACCTTGTACCAGCGCCATTTCCAAGAAAAAAACGTGCCTTTTCACTCTTCCACACTATATACGTGTCGAATCTCACACTATTTACATGTGATCTGAAAGATAATATAATCGACGAAAAGTGACATTCATTGATTCGACATACAACAAGCAAGTGTACGTTTTCATTCTAAATAAAGCCAGAGAATATAAATATACACAGGATCATTCTCACTCCTGACAAATCTGGAGACCCGGCGATGGATTCCAGCACCCGTGCCCTCGTCTTGACCGTGACGCAGTACTGGAAGGGCTTCGACCTGGACAGCAAGCGCGTCATGCTAGATGCGCAAGGCGTGTCCATGCAGGAACAGAAGGAGCACAGCCTAAAGTCTCGCAAGGCACTGGCCGAACACACCAAGAAGTTCCGCAAGTTAGTCGACACGGACAAAGTTGCCGCGATGCCGTCGCTGCTCAAGGCGTACCAGGAAGAGATCGACACACTGACGAAGCGCGCCAAGTACAGCGACAACTCGTTCTTTGCACTGTACAAGGCGTTGTACGAAGCCCCCGATCCGGTTCCGGCGCTCGACGCGGCGCTCCTTCTTGAGTCCACCTCCCCCGCTCCTTCCTCGACCGACAAGACGCAATCCATTGATCTCGTGGCCAAGTTACGTCGCGAACTCGCATCCTACGAATCCGAGTTCGCGTCGTTGAAGAACCAAGACATTACGATCCGCAACCTCGAAGCCAAGCTGGCGGCCATGGAGGACAACATGGAGCGTCACGTCGAGGACAAGGTCCACGCGCAATGCAGCGACCTGGAAAACACCCTACGTCTCCGCGAAGGTAGAAACTTTTTCCGTCGTCCTTCCATGTTGTAGAGCAGCGTGAAATCTCTTGTCATAGCGGATATGGCCTTGCACGCAGCCCAAGCCGACAAGTGCCTCCATCAAGCGCGGGAAGCCAGGGACGATGCGCTGGCGCAGTTGGACCTCATGCGATCGGAGCTCTTCCGCGCCAAGCAACATGCCGACCACGTCCACGCCGTCCATGCCAGCGAGACGCAAAGTCTGCTCACGGACCTGTCTCGGTTCCATGGGGTCGAGTTAGAAAACCAACGGCTCAAGGACCAACTGCGACGGAATCGCCATCCACTGACGTCCGATACAAATAGCTCCAGTAACCTTGCCTATCAACAGAACACTGTACGTCGTCTATTGCCTTTATTATTATTTATTATTTATTATTATTTATTATTATTATTATTATTTATTATTATTATTTATTATTTATTATTTATTATTATTATTATTTATTATTATTATTATTCCAGTGACGTCCGATTCAAATAGCCCCAGTAACCTTGCCTATCAACAGAACACTGTACGTCGTCTATTGCCTTTATTATTATTATTATTATTGTTTATTATTATTATTATTTATTATTATTATTTATTAGTAGTAGTAGTATTATTATTTCGACATATACTCGTTGGGGTGTGGTGTGGTATTTTGTGTATGTAGGACTCTGGTATAAGAAAGATATTTGCGTCGTATATATATATTATTATTACTAAAGAGTATATGTTATACTGTATTATTTACGTTCACAGGCTTTGGATTGATGCTTGTTAATAAAGTATTCACGTAATATTCATATATATATTCATGCACTGTACAACTATATTGGACCATCCTTTTCATTATGCGTAATATATATATATATATGTTACCCGTCCACAGGCTATATATTGAGGATTCTTGCCAAAATAACATACTTTGAAGTACATATTTACAGTTCTGTGCAATGATATATTGGACCATCCTTTCATAATGTGAACTATATGTACAGTATGTATGATATATATATTATTTTCATGCACACGCTCTATACATTGATGCTTCTTGCCTACATAACCTATATATATATATATATATATGTACAAGTACATTAGCTCATCGTTTTTAAACGATGTGTAGGCGGTGTCGACGATGCAGTGGGAGCTGGAAATAGCGCAAAAAGATGCAGTGATCGCCCAACACGAGCGAGAGATTCTCCGTCTGCAGGACACTATGGCCGGTCAAACCAGTCACTGGACCGCCCAAGTGACAGCGTTACAGTGTCAAGTGACCGAGTTGAGTGACCGGCCGACCGTCGCCGCCTACGAGCAGGCTCTGCAGGCACACCAGCAAGTGGCGGGTCTCACGTCGGTGGAAGCGTCATATTCGACCGACAAGGGCTTAAATGCGATGATTTCGGACCTGCAAGCCCAGCTAGTGGCTCAAAAACACGTGCATGAGAGCACGGTCAAGCAGCTGGAGCTAGCCAACGCCGCCACCGTGAGCCGCCATGTTAGTGTGATTGCGCAGCTCGAGTCGGCGCTGGACGAGGCGCTGGATACGACCACTCGAAAGGACATGCCGTCGTCGATTCTGGGCGACGTGCTGGGGAGCAGCAACCGCGATAAAGATGCTAAGTTGGTTGCAATCGTTCGGCAGCAACGCGATCGAGCCAAGGACAAGCTGAAACATGTCGAGGCAGAGTGGCACCGGGCGGTGGCCGCAGCGCAAGCCGCGAGTACCCGGCTGCGGCAATTGGAAGTGGAAAATGTCGACTTGGTGCAAAAGATGCGATATGTTAGTAGTAGCTCCAACCAGAGGGGAGACCTCGAGACTGGCAAACACTCGTCGAGCTTGTACGAAGCCCGAATGAACCCGTTCGACCAGTTCAAGCAAATGGAAAGTGCGGCGCGGGTGGCCCAGCTAAACCCCCTGGACAAGATCATGCTGGTCAGTGCGAGGCTCATCCTCAGCCATCCGTTTACAAGGATGGGGCTGCTGGTGTACCTTGTGGTTCTCCATTCACTGGTCATGGGGACGTTGTATCTGTCGATGCACTTGTGTAACATTAGCAACCACACGTAAATCTAAACTTTATATCAGAGTATTGTGCATGTTTCACCCCAATGAATTTGGACGTGTGAATCATGTCGCCAAATAACGTTTGCATTTTCGAATCCATTTATTTTATCCAATTTAAGTATTAGACAAAGAACCGTATGTTTATGGTTTTGTCCAATGCGGAGGGACTGGGTCGAGTCAAACGTTTGGATTGGCAGAAATTCACCCGAGCGTGATTTGATTGGCTTAGGCGGTTCTTTAATCCATTCTCATATATTAATAGTACTTCAGAAGTAAGACATTCGTTTCTGCTGAGGGTTCTAGTTTCGAATCGATATGACAATACCATACTAACGTTACGTAGTATGTGGATATCGGAGTAAGACTAGTAACTAGTTATGTGGATCCGCATATCGTTACTTGGTCAGGCATACCAGTAGTATAGTAGTACTGTATTTGAAACCACCGGAGGTTTTGATTCTACGCATTTGATTTGTCGAGTTTTGAAACGGACGAGGCTTTCATTGGTGGACGAGTTCAACAACAACGCACACACGATGTGTAAGAAGACATGAGTTATAATTAGCCAGACCAAGCGTTAGTGTAACATTTGAATGCCACCCCCGCGCGTGTATGCGACAGAGCCGAAGCGCCGCAAGTGGACGTGGGCCCATGGGCGCAAGTGGTGGCGAGTGATTAGCAACCTCCTCGCCATTTTCCTTATCCTGCTCACGGGCTTGACAGTGGTCGTGTTGCTGGCCAAGGGTATGTTCTTCAGTCGCCTCGCGTCACCGTACTTCCAAACAAGCACCGACTGGAAGCCGTACAACCAAACGTGTCGCCTCTCGCCGGACGGGTTTGTCGCGTCGTCGTGCTCGGCAGAGGAGGTGGCCTTCACGTTATCGCCCGAGGCGTGGCACTCGATCGGTCGGCAACTCGCGGCCGACATCCAAGTGCCATCCGCGACAGTAGCAGCGTTTGTGACGACATGTGTGATCGGCACGCGGCGGGAATGGGTGAGGGTGGCTATGCTAGTGGGGGAATTCGGCTTTCCGCAGTGTCTCCCTGTAGGCGAGCAAGTGATTCTCGGCATGGCGTTGCTGGAAACAGCGACCACTGCCACCTACCCCGACGGCGCGTACCTATTGAGTTCGTTTTCTGGCATGAAACAAACTCACAACATGACCGAGCTTGCCTTGTCGGACGGCACGGTCGCGATGGCCTTTGCACCGATGGTCAAGACGTTGGTGAGCACCGACGGCGTGACGTCAATGGCTCACCGCCGGCAGCCCAACTACCGCACCACGCTAAACAGCCTCAACCAGCGGTACCTCATGGAAATGATCAGTGTTGCCGAGTACATTGACATTTCGTCTGTCGTGTCCACTCAAAGCGGGTGGAGTGTGGGGTCGAGAAATCGATTTGTGGGCACGTTTGCCTGGGATACGCAGCACAAAGCATCCAATTACAAGGAACTGCTAGTGTTTCAAATTGCCATTGCACTCGCGGCGCTCTGTTTACTGGCCAATGACGGCATCATCACTCTCGAAGGGCTCTCTGGTTTGCTGAAAGACCGCCCAGTCTTGACCTATGACCTGTTTTCGGCGCTCGAGCGGCGCAAGCTCCTGCTTGTGTTTTTGGTGTGGGCCATGATGTTCTCTCCGCTCTACGCTGACGTGCTGCGGTACCTCCATCTCGTGGCTGGCAACGGGCCGTGGGACTTGTCGCTCATCATGGTGTCCAGCCTCTTTGCGTGGAGCTGGATGGGCGTCCTTACCTGTGTTCAGCATGTTCCTTGTCCAGTGGCGTGGCGACATCGACCGCTGGCGTACTCTGCGCCCGTGTTCGTCAACACCAACTTAGCCCTGTTTTTGGGGCTGCAAATGGCCAAAGATCGAGGGTTTGTCGAGTTTTTCGCGTTCTGGGCAGACGCGCATCCCCTCTTGGGCATTCAAGTGCACTCGGTGACTATGAACGCCGGCGCTTACGGCCTAGACGGCACAACGCCCGTGATCTACAAACTCCTGCCCGACATTGCGATGTGCTTGGGCATTTCCTGGGTCGTCTCCGTCATCAGTGCCGCGTCGTCCAATGGGTGGGACTGCCGCCTTGACACTGCGTGGACAGCGCACAATTCGTTTCTCCAGTCTGTGGGGGTGCCGCGGTGGATCACGTGCTTGAGCTTGGACAAACGGAATGCGATTCCCATCGGCAAAGACAAGCTGTACTGCAAGCCCAGCACCCTCGTCCTGATGGGATACACGTCCGTGCACAGCGCGGCCGTCATGTCCATGAACACCAACGCCCGAGAAGAAAACCACGCGATGGAGCATTTTGTCCTGGGCATCTACGACCTTATCCGCGCCATCGTGCCGGTGCTGCGGCGACGCCGACCGCCCCGAGTGCATGGCACGATCCAGCACAATGCGTTTTTATCGGCAAAGAGCACCGTCAAACTAGACGCCACCAGAACATTTGTTTACTCTAGAGGCGAATGTTGTGGCTAATGCAAACCCAATGTACTGTATACTTTGACCTTTCCTACTGCATTGCACTTGGATCATTGAGTTGCTAGCATATCCAAAAGTAACATCAATGGTTGATCTCAGCGAATCAGGGGGCTGTCCGTTACAAAATTTAGCCAATCACAAAAGTCTATTTGGCTGCAAGTGATGCCATTGGCCAGTTCGTGGTGATCCACACGCGGTGCAATAACCAAACGACACGGTTGTTTATGTATACAATAGAGGCACGACTGTCTAGAACGCCAAAATGTTTTGGTTGTTGCAGTTGTCGTCCGTGTACCCCTTGAAGCAGGCGCAGATGCCAGTATCGCGAGAGCACATGCCGCGCCCGGAGCACTCGGACACGTAGTCAAAGAAGCCCGTGGCCGGGTTGGGCGTCGACACGATGAAGAGGTCGTCCGTGGCAGAAGAAACGGCCGTGCCGTCTGCGGCTTGGCCGTTGAACTTGCGGTCCACCGTGACGGTTTTGGGCGTGGTGGTGAGGGAAATCGACCGCACAAAGTAGTGCACGTTGTGGTAGAAGATGCGACTGCCCGGCGCCAACGTCGTGGGGTCGACGTCGATTTCAAACGTGTCGGAACCCACTGCCCACGCGACAATCTTGGCGGTCGCGTCCGCTGCAACCGTGAGTGACGTCGAGTAAAAGATGGCCGAGTAGTCGGCGAACGCGGCCCCAGTGTACGGCCACAGCACCGTGATGGACACGGTCGTCTGGACAGAGGCCACGAGGAGGTGGCGGTCGCGGATCTTAATGAGCGAGTTGGTGTTGATCGGCGCCACGGACGCGGGCGTCGTAGTCGGGTCCGCCGGCTTGATCAACAGGACCGTCGTGGACGACGTCGTGTCGTCAAAGGCAAACACTGACGGCGTCGTGATCCACTCGCGGTTCTCCCCTCGGCGGTCGCCGGCCGCGACGAACGCGCGGGTGGCGGTGGTCTGGACGACGTTGCCCGTGATGGCGAAGCGCGAGTCGGCCACTTCCGGCAACCGCATGTCGCCGGGGTTATCAATGTACTGACACACGACCACCGTGCCTTCTTCGCTCGCCACCGCCGCCGTCTCCACCCCCTGGCCCAACGTCCCGGCCGTACCCACGAGTTCGCAATCGATGGACGAAAACACGTCGTTCGGGATATTCAAAAAGGCATTCTCAATCGCTTCCACGGCCTTGGCTCCGTCCGCCGTTGCGTAGATCGGTATGCGATCCGTGAGGTACCCCGCGCCATAATTGTCAAACACTCGAAGGCGATACCTACCCCCAAATTAGAATCATGAGACAGAGCTGTTGAAATGTGTCGCAGAATCATTTGACATACCAAGAGTTGACCGGGTCCAAATGCGTCGACGCTGGCACAATCCCCGTGTAAATGATAAACGTTTCCAGGACGGGGAACCCCGCGGCCATGTACAGCGGATCGACGCCGACCTTGCAGTTGCGGCGGGAGCAGTCGCCGCCAGTGAACCACGGGTCGCACACACACGAGTGGCCGACGTTGGCATCCCACAAGTTGTATTTGGTCGCGACTTGGCCGCCAGGGTTGCCCGTCACCTTGCCATTGGCGTCGGCAGTGGCGGCGATTTCGCTGATCGACTTACACACGCCGCGGCCGTTGCAGTTGTTGGCGCACTGCGCTCGCTGGCAGGCAGAGCCTTCGAAGCCGGGGAAGCAGCCGCAGATGCCCGTGGCGCGGTCACAGATGCCCATGTTGGAGCACTCCATGTAAAAGTGCGCTTCGTCTGTCTTGGCGTCGGGGTTGAACCACTCGTACGTCTTGTACGGGTACACTTGAGACTGATCGAGGATCCACCCCGTGGTCTTTTGGTCGCGGTCCATGTTCAAGTCGCCCTTGGGCGTGTCGATGTGGGCAAACCCAAACGGACACACGCGTTGTGCACAGTCGTTGCCGGCGTAGTTCTTGAAGCAGTAGCACATGTCGCGAGGCCCGCACACGCCGTTGCCTGAGCACCCGCCAGGACACTCGGCGGAAGCGAGGCCAACCAGCGCGGCGAGACCAACCAGAAACGACGTAGGCTTCATCCCAAATGTGGAAATGAACCATCATCCATCGCCAAGCGACTCCACAAACCGACGTCCTCGCTTGTGATTGGCTCGTGAACCGTCGCGCCAAGTTGTTCGTTTCGAAAACAACATCGAACGAATGAACGGTCGCAAACGCGTTTTATTGATGCTCATGAGCACGTTTAACGTTTTAGTACGTTTTACCCAGCCGTTGAAACTACAGTACTACATGTATAATACCAACTTCAATGTACTAGTAGTTCTATATATGGTCCCATTCGAATGCCACATAGTAATTAATGCTCAGTGTATACTAGTAGCACATATCGTCCACCACGTTCATAGTGCATAACCACATTGGTTTTCGAAATGGAGTGTTGAATATAACGCGTTTATTAGTAAGGTAAATCAGGCCTATAAATAGAAATCGAAGTTCACAATTAACCCCTCCTCAGTATGCATTTATGCAGTAATTAGCCCTCACCTCTTATATATACATTTGCAGCGTATATAGTATATCGAAGTTTCAATAAGTAACAATTCGTGGAGTACTTCTGTCATCGAAGCATGTCCAAACCCTTCCCGTGGCTGCGGGTGACTCAGCTGACGCTGGGGTGGCTGCCAGTGGCCATAGCATTCAATGCGGTTGGGTTGAGCTGGGGACGCGTGCAAGGCAAGTCGATGCAGCCTACGTTGAACCGCGATTACGCCACGACCACCAAGGGGGACACAGTGCTTCTCGACAAGTTCTCCGTCCAAATGCTCCATCGCCTCGTACGTGGTGATGTCGTGGTGCTCAAATCTCCCACGGACCCTGGTGAACTCCTCACGAAGCGTTTGATTGCACTGGAAGGCGATTGGGTCGAAGGTCGCAACGGGAAGCGCGTTGTGGTGCCGCCAGGCAAGTGCTGGGTCGAAGGAGACAACGAAGACGTGAGCGAAGACAGCAACGAGTTCGGCAGTGTGCCCATGGCCCTCATCGAAGCCCGCGTTGTGGCCATCTTGTGGCCGCCGTCGCACGTGGCGAAGATTCCAAACGCGTTGCCGCCGAATCGAGTGCTGTAACCTTTCCATATTCCCATATAGACTTCCGAGAATGACATTTTTATACAAGACCACCGTGGTTATCGCCATAGCTCCACGAATATGTCTGACGTACAGTATTCAGTACCACTGGGTTACCTTGCTACCAAATATTTGCAAATACGCCCAATGAATTATATATAATAATAGTATCATTGATGCAAAATTTGGACCCTTGTGCTGAATCACCAAATGATCGATGATTGGTATCACACTAGTTGAAGTCACACACTAATTCGATGTTGATGGTGGTTTCCTGCAATTTGATTGGCTAAATATATCCTTGTTCCGATTCTTGTGTACATTTGGTTGTGTCGATTCATGCTCCAGTTTAAACACAACAATAGCGACTTGCAGCTCTACTGTACTACGTACTTCTAGGTATTAACACGAGCAAAGCAGGTTTCTCAAGCCTAACGAATGATTTGGCCAATTCTATATTTCTATCTTTGTACCGAGAACCTACGATGCAATGAGGGGTTTCGGGGTTGGAGGGGTATTATAACATGTAGTACTATTAGTAGTACTAATACTATGTACTGTAGTACTACGTATTAATAGTAGTAACGTTATGTTATTAAGCACCTCCACCGCTCCTAGTAGTGCTACAGTACTAACGTTACTGTATAGGATCATTTTTCTTGGATATTACAGTCTTACTTTGAAGTTTATATATATATATATATATATTTGTATAAGTTAAGTTGGAACAAATACCCATCGACCGTTAGACGACAGCAATGGAAGTTGTGGGCATGGGCAGGGGTTTGCCGAGACATGCAGAGGTCGACGTGGGGGTGGACGCATCGGGCGTCGCGTCCTGGGACGAGCCGTGGCGGTCTTCGTCTTGCAGTTTGTCCATCACATGAGCGATGATCGCGGCATCGGAGGCGAGCGCGCGGTATGGGTTGAATGCGCGGAAGACTAGCGCGAGGACTAGCACGATGAGACCGAGGATCATGCCACTTCCAAAGTACGGTGAAATGGCCGCCACAAAGCCATGATCGTGGGAGGACGTCGAGGATGGATCGTTGGCTTGAAGGGATGCCACCACGACACGGTCCTTCACGGCTTCTGGCACGTCCTTGAGCAGCTGCATAAGTTTGTCCTTGTCTACGCGGATGAAGACTGGTCTGGCATCTTGGATCGCGCGATCTTGCTCGGATGCCGACGGGAGCTGCGATAGAGTCGCGAGGAGTGTTGTGAGTCGAGCAACGTCGTTGGCCATCGCGACTGGCACATCGAGCGCACGCTGGACGGGAGATGCGTATGCATTGGCCTGAATGGACGAGGAGGAAGTCGCGACACAGACGAAAGCGACCGCAAGGACTACAAGCGCGAACATTGTCATGGAATGTGGTGATGCCAGCGGTGAGAACGGGAATGAGCCGACCATGTTGCTGGCTCACACGGAAATTCTTGTCATGTATGACACCGGCTGGAACTTCTCTGCCAATCAGATGCAGGAAGTACCATGTGCAACGAATTATTATAGCCAATGAAATGCAAGCATGTGCGTTCCTACACTCCGAATTTGCATGCCAACGACGCGCGGCAGCCAGGCAGGTACTATACGTATCGTAGCCTATCGGTAGATTGGCTATCTGCATGTACCAATACCTAGAGCTTCATGCAAGCAACGGTGATGTGCGTGCATGGACGACTTGTGTGTGTCACCTTTGCAACAGACTGTGTGTCGACAGTCTGAGCATGAGACGATGGCTACGCCTTGTAGCAAGCGCTAGGGGCCTCTAAATCACCCTTTTGTAAGCTTGGCGCATTGGTAAGCACAATTATTCACCTCATGCTGCGAGGGCAAGGTTGGTGCATACCAGATGTGAACTGGAATGTCCACTTGCTACTAAGAGAGGGCAAGCAAATGGCTCGGCTCGTACTACCCATGGATTGGTTAAAATTATAACAATATACTTTACTGATTGGCCCATTCACAAATTTCAACCTGCTAGGGCCATAATTCCTCTTGAAAAATGCTGCGACAACTGTGGGTAGCTGTTGGCGCCGCGCTGTGCGTAGTCGTGGCGGCGACTGACCATGTCCACCTCCGCAACCAGGCGGCAACGTGCACATCCGTGAGCGTCGTGGGAGATGCCACGTACTGCATCGACACGGCCACTATCTGCGGCGGAACCGTCGGAGCGTGCCCGAAGCAAGGCGACGTCGCATCCGCAGATTGCCTACCAACACTCAAAAGCTACTTCCGTGGTGATGGAAGCACCGCGGAGTGTATCGCACCAGTGGACGCTGAATGTAAAGCTATTCCCTCAGGTGTGCTGGGCTGCGTGTTCCCTTCGACCATCTCTACCACGTCGCCACCTCATTCTTCGAGCCTTCCACCGGTCCCCAGTACCACTAGCATTGATCCTACGACGATTCCCCATCCCACGGATGAGGCCGTCAAGGTATGCAGCGAAGACTGGGGTCAATGTGGCGGTCAGAGCCGCACGCAGCGCTTTTCCAACTGTTGCCACAACGCCACGTTTGCATGCAAAGCGTTCAACGTGTACTATTCGCAGTGCCTTCCCACCGTGTCTACGAGTTAATCCAATTAACCACAGTGTTATATGTACTACGGCGCCGTTACAGTGTAATAACGACGATTTTGACGATGTGTCATAGTGTCGTAGTGGTGATACTACCTACAGTAGTAAGCTTACTACTACTGTACTGTAGTACATTGTAGGGTGGCTCGTCGATAGAATACAATGGCTAGAGCGGCAACCATAGAGAAGACAAAAGTAGCAGTGGCTCACTGGCTGGCATATACTACGCACTGTAGTAGTTAGTATACTTTTACTGTCAAGTCGATTCAAATTGGAGTGGGATGCTCAATCAAATGAGCAGCACCAAAAATCGCCTGACAATCGATATACGACCAATCAAAACCCACAACACGAATCAAGTAGACCAATTAGGGTGTGAATGAAATTAGTACGATGTTTATTAATAAATACAAAAGTCAGTACAACGAATCGATCCATAGTTTTGGCGAATCAGCACAAAAGTCCAAATTTGGGGCAACATAGACACTTGTATTAAATTTATGTACTTCAACCACACGACAGTCCACACCAATTCTTTAAATGATTGGATCTTCTGCATCGTCCATGATACTGTATATACTACACATTTTTGCAGTAAAGTTGGACGAATGCCCGGTATATTTGGTCGTGTGCCCAAGCAATTGCCCATGTGCCTGATGAATTGTGTCGTGTGCCCGATGAAAATGGAAATAACGCAATCAAAAGTCAATTCAATATAGAAATAGTCGTCAAACGACACATGCCGCATCCTTGCTGTGACGTCACATACCAACGCCCATGTTGTCCATGGCCTCCGCGTGTCCATCGTGGGTGCGTGCGTACCTTGAGGTAAATATATCGAAAAATGAGCTCTGCGCGCGACAGATTCAAAAAAATTTGGTGGGAGTTGAAGTATGGGCGAAACGTTGAAGGATAGGGGCAACAGTATACTGGACTTTGTTCAAGTAAAAATATATAGACTTCAATGTTCTGTACTTCGAAGTATTCACTGGGAGATGCGGGATACAAACAAATCACTATGAAGAATTAAGGGCCCTTGACCCCTTCAAATCGTGGTGTGCCATTGTTTGTCGAGGGGATATACCGGTATATGCATCTTTATTCAAGTTGTCACGTGCGAGTCAACCAGGAACTGAATATGCCACTTCCACGGAAACAAACGGCGTGTACATATGCGCAACAGTTACATATTATTATTCGTTTGAACATCTTTATTTTGATATTTGTATAGTGCATGTGTATTTTTATTCATCCCTAATTATTTACGTTTGGCAAAACGATCTACTAGTATACATACTGCAGATTGTGCATGCGTACATGCGGGAAAGGGGTCAGCGATTTCTCACTGTCAATGTATACTCCGCAATGGGTCACGGAACTCTCAATTCCTCATAAAAACAACTAATACTATCAAGAACACCTTATTGCATGTCGCCTGAATCAACAGCTGTAGAGAAAGACAACTTCGAACTTGGCAAATTCGTCGTGTATTTCAAGAACAAGCGTGTACATGCGGGTAAGATGCCTTACCTTGGTATGCCAGAGAGAGCTGTGCATGCGCAGACCATGCTGCATAGGCTGAGCTAGTGATGGGCTATCTTGTAATATCAGTAGGATAGCGCTAACAGCTCGAGAAAAACCTCATCAAAGTTCGTCCATTTTCGATATAACGTAGAAAACCAATTTAAGGTGCTCGAACCATTTAATCGTGCACTTGAATCAGCCAATCAAATGTAGTAAAAATTACTGGGAGATAACCTCCTTAATCTAATTAATACACGAAGTGAATTTTGGCGCCTGTCATGCACGACCGCGACCGCGATCGCGCTATACACGCGTTGAGCTTGACAGAGCTGTTCAAGATGTGCTTGCTGGGCGAAACGGGAAGCCAGTGGCAGCGTTCTCCAAGATACCCTACAACACCCTCATGAATTATGTGCACGCGACAAAGGCCGGCACCACCACGACATCAAAGCGCCGCGGGCCACGCCCTACCATGCCGAGGAGATTGTGAATGACGGTAAAGTTACAAATACTTTCATTGTACCCGTATGTATATATTTCTCACCAGGCTTATTACTACTGTAGTCACGGGTGACTTGCACTCCGAACGAAAGAAGAAGCGAAGAGCGGTGCTGGTGCTGTGTCCGTGTCGCTGCCATGATGGGCCTCAAGCCCTTGCCTAATGGTCAAGTCAAAGCCAACCGCAAGAACGCTGTGCACGTTGTAGTGTAATTCATCGCATTACATGAAATACCTTTGCATGTGATGTTGGACCTCCAATTTTTCGTGCACACCTGGTTGTGGATTCCTAAAATGTCAGACTCGCGTCAATTTCAAAAATGGTCACTGACAGTTACTCACAACTGTATAATTGCATTACCTGTCTGGCTTTAATATTTAACTGCTGAAATAACCCCACAAAAAATATGCAAATGGATATACAAACGTTAAGCTAATTGTGTGCACAAACAACTGGTTCTCACATTTTGAGTACTTTTGCTTCGAAAATGGTATTTATGTCTGTCAAATAGACCGTGAAACACATTTTTTGAATGTCCAATGAATCAACTCCGCTTTGGCCTCATCCAGCACTTTTCGGAATGTGAATCTGATGCATCCATGCTGAGCTTCGTTCCTTCCACTGCAGCGTCTCGGAAAAAGTGTTCTTAAATTGGTTTTCTACGTTACTGTATGCGTATGTCGACATGCTGTCGGAGTACCACGCACATGCGCAACAAAAAAATTGCATCCGCAAAAGTAATGAAATATCCGGAACTGCTGAGTTTTCAATAATGTGAAACAGCGCGAATTTGTTGAATGAGTGCAAGGCGTCGCACATGCAGTGAACGATATAAAACGTGTCAGTACAACAGCCAATGTCCCTCTCCAACAAGTTGGATGGCTGCAAAGAAACTCCAGACTTTGCTTTCGCCAACCATGAATGCCTCGATTTTGGCCTTCCATAACATCGTGTTATGATGAGTTTTCGCCAGTTCCCGCATCTCCCTGGAATAGAATATTCTGTTATTAATATATCGACTTCGCTCAATTTTCGATTTACCTTCGATGGACGCGGGGAGGCCATGGGCAACATGGGCGTTGGTATGTGACGTCACAGCAACGATGCGGCATGTGTCGTTTGACGACTATTTCTATATTGAATTGACTTTTTTTATTGCCATTTTCATCGGGCACTCGACACAATTCATCGGGCACATGGGCAATTGCTTGGGCACACGGCCAATTATATCGGGCACACAGCCAAATATATCGGGCACACGACCAAATACCGGGCATTCGTCCAACTTAACCGCAAAAAGGTGTAGTAACGAGACATCAAACCAACACCGTCGTTCCTCCTGTCTACTTGGTAACTTTCGTGTATCGATCGGAGGGCGTCCAACTTTGTGCATATGCATGCTTTACTTGGAGAAAGCTTTCACAGTTTCATGGATAACACGACACTGATATGGGCCTTTCTACGTTGATCGTTTCATTCAAAAACGTAACTGCTACCTGTCGCTCATCTTGGCCCGCCGGCATATCGTATGCCGGCGGCGATTATGCAATCCAACAACAACGACGAGCATGACATCGTTGTCGCCAATCAAACACAGGGGGGGTCGTCGTACACTGCTAGACTCATGGACGACGAGGCGATTCAGTCGCTGCGTCGAGACTTGCGCGAGTACGAAGTCAATATTGCTCGGCATGGGCATCTGCAGGAGTACGTTGCGTCGAAACCGGTCCAAGTCAGCCGCATTGAGCTTCTCCAATCGACCTCCCCGGGCAACACCTACGATCCCCCAACGACCCCCTCCACCCACGGAACGCCGCGCCAAACTTCTCGGCGGCAGCACCCCAGTAGCGTCATTCGACACCGCGACTCGTTTGCCACCGCCATGGTCAAGCACCACCTCGGCTTTGACCCTCTTATGAAAACTGACGACGACATCGAGAACCAGGACATCACCCCCATCGCTGCCCCCGCAACGACAGGTGACGCCTTGCTGCTTCCGTGTCGACCGGCGTCCGCTACGTCGACCTCCTGTCAAACCACGCTACCATCGAAACCAACTAGCTGTCGACCAGCCACAGTCAACGTGGGTAAAGGAGAGGGGGCGCGGCAGCGTTTGTATACGAAAGTGCACTCCGAAGAAAAAGCATCGTTGCAAGGTTCGACAGTCTGTCGATGGTCATGACACAGGCTCTTAGTACAAAGTCATGTGAACTGTGTGATTAGGGCTAGAAGCACAGTACTTTGCGGCCAAAGACATGCTGCTGCGCGTACGTCCTTATATTGTCACTGGACCCCACAATTGTGACAACGTGATTGCTTGGATGTGTGAGCTGACTTGGTTGGGTTAATTCTGCGTTTTGTTGTAGCATATGGATCGGTGGGGCGTGCACAGTCGTCCTGACGGAGACGTCAGCCACTCGGTGTTTGCAAAGTTGAGTAAATTCGATGAAAAGGTTGGCATCCACCACCCTGAAGATGCCGACCATCGCAAACACCCACGATCTAGTCGACAGCCACCGCCAGTAACATCTGTGCTGCTGCCCCTCATGAGTAGTAGTGCTACCACACCCCGCCAACCACACAAACAAGTTAGAATACATCAAAACTAATCAATCCTTACCTGCCAAAATCAGTCTAACTACAGTAAGCGTCGTTGTACTTTTTGTTAACTTTGTAAGTTCTGATTGGCTGGATATTAAAACTGCCAGTCTCTGATTGGTTCGAAATGAAACCGCCGCAACACTGCCAACCGTCGCACACGACATTACGAGATGACCGCGCCCCCGACGGCGGTGGCGATCACCGAGGATTTCCTCTTGGAGCATGTTGGAGTGTACGACATCGTCGGCACCAAAGAGGTACTCTCACAACGGCATTTTCCATTAGTATTTCGATATAACAGTCATGTCTTAGCTCATGCTTCGCGACGAAGGTATCGACAGATTGGACCAACGGTGCGCGACACAGCTCGTGTCGTTGGAGCTACTGTCGCTGTCCCACAACAAGCTGCAGTCGTTGGAGCACTTTCAGCACCTCGTCAACCTCGTCGAGGTGTGCTACCCCCTTTTCCCATACTACAATTGTATGTGAGTCAATGTGTCTTGCTCTAGCTCAATGTAAACTTCAATCAAATCTCGTCTTTGGACTCGTTGCAGTGCTTCGGACTGCAAAAACTCTACGCAGCCAACAACAAGGTACCAGTCTCGTGAACATTCTAGGCCATACGAATCCTAACGTTTGCATGTTGTAGCTCACGTCCATGGCGCACCTGCGGTCGTTTCCACATCTCGTGCATGTGTCTGTGTTTGGCAACCAACTCGGCGATTTGGATGATGCCATGCAAACGTGCCGCCATCTCCTCAAACTCCGCGGTTTGGATTTGGACGGCAACCCCTGTGCCCGCGTCAAAGGCTACAAGTACCACGTGCTGCGTCGACTGCCCCGGTTGAAGGAGCTCGACGGTTTGTGCTCCGATATATGAAAAATGCATGAACTCTCCTTTTGTTTTTTGGCTGTGATGTGTCAATATTCCAGTTACTTGTATTACATTACAGGTGACACCATCCACGCACTGGATCGAGAATTGATGCACGATCAACAGCAGCACAGCCTCGTCCCTGGCTTCCGCCCGTCCACGGCCCCCCCCGCCCCCCCTATCGTTTCGAACTCGGCGAGTCTCCGCCACTTGTCGTCTCGAAGCTCGTTAGTTGGTACGTGCAGTTGAGTTTTACGGGGCGATATATGTATTATGCTCCTTATGATGGAAGGATCAGACAACGGCGACTCGTTGCGGGGACCAGTGCACCTCTTTCGCGACGATTTTCTTAACAACAACCCGATTTTGCTCGAGTATCTCGCCCAAGTAGGACCGAGAATTACTTTTCTCGACATATGTTGATCCATCGAGAATAGGGCGTGGACGATGCTCATAACGCAGCGCATGACTACTCGCCAACGTCCGAGCTCCGGTCTACATGTCCAGACGCTGTCGCAGCCCTCGCCACTGCTTCCACGTACAGCCATTGTACCGTCGTTCTAGTGTAGTAGTCTCATGTATATTTTGGCCATAGATTCGTGGACAGGATGCGTCTGGCGAACCCAGACCCGACGCCTGACGCTCTTGTGGTTGACGGTGGTGGTCGCACTCCGCCGTGCCCCATGGCCACCCCCACGCCCGTGGCTACCCACTCGATTGTCGACCCATCGGACCCCCACGCGACCATTCGAAAGCTGCTTAAGCACATCGAACAGTTGGAGGTACTTTTGCATTCCTGGCAACCAGCTAAACCATTGGGTAGAGAGAGGGTTTTGTAACTACCTCCCTTGTCCACGCACTGGTTTCTATGTTTAGCTAGCCGGTTTGTATGGTTAGCTAACCGGCTATGTACTATGAGCTGTAGCTATTTGTGCGCTAGGTGTTGAATTCTTGATCGCTAGAGTAGCTAGGAGTGGGTTGGTAGCTAGCTACGTTGGTCTCTGCATTGGCTGTTTCGTCCTTTATTGGCTACAGTAGTTGGTATGTTTGTGTGGCTAGCCAAGCTACGTAGCCATCTGTGCCTTGTTGGTGTCGTTATATGGAAATACTCAACTTGCAACGTTGTGGAAATATATGGTAGGCCAGCGTGGACATGTATAAAGCGGCGGCGTCCGACTCGGCCGTGACCTCTCTCGTAGACGAAATCACCCGCCTGCGCATCGAAAACAACAACATTCCCATCCTGCAAGCTGAGATCCACCAGCTCAAAGCCACCATCCGCCACGCCCCCCCCAACTATGACGACGACGACAATCAACAGCCTGGAACTATCAACGATTCGTCCAAGTCAGTCAAGGCTTTGCAGGTGCGATCAATAATCACATTTGGCTACACATCACCGAGTGATATATAGTCAACGCGGTGACTGCAATATTTATACTGGTATACATTTATATATTTTTTCCAGTGAATGAACTATTATCTGTGGTGCTTGGCTACACATCACCGAGTGATATATATATATATCTGTCAAACAACGCAGTGACTGTAATATATATACATTTATCTACTTTTTCCAGTGAATAAACTATTATTATCTGTGGTGATTGTAGGCGGAGAATGCTGCGTTGACGAGGCAAGTGAAAAAACTCCGGACGATGCTGGCCGCTCGTCAAGCCACCGACGACAACCATGGCCCCATAAAGCAGTCTAAGGAAGAGGTACATAATATATGAATATCTCGTGATAGAAATATATATAATATCTATTTAGTTCATACCCCCTCGACTATGTATTGCTAGATTTTGGACGAAGCTGCCGCCGTGGACGTGGAGCTCACGCATTTGATCATGCAGAATGAAATCTCCCTTCAAGTCATGCGTCAGGTTCAAATACAAATATATATATATATATATATATATTTATATCTAATGGCCACCATTTTTAATATATCCTAACTAGACGATTCAAAAGACCAAATTGGACATGCAACAGGACCGCGTGGCGCGATTGTACGACCTCTTTTGTCGACCAATCTATTTCTTGTCATATATATATATTTACATTATATATTAAAACCTTTTACATTATATATTAATAAACATTAAATATTAATTTGCATTATTTATATTTACATCATATATATATATATTGTGTGTAGGACGGGGCAGCAGCGTCCCAGCACGAGCGCGGGCGTGCTGCAGACCTTTGCCGGTCCTCGGCAGTCGTCGGTTCCGTCCTCCGTCAGTTCGTCGGCAGGGCGGCGGCAGCTGCACACGTCCGCGGGCCCCCGTCCGCGTTCCAAAGGCGCTGGTTGTCGCGTGTCCAGCAAGAAGACGCCGCCCGTGCCTGAAGACTCCCCCACTGACCAAGTCAACAACAATACTGGGTGCCCAGACCTGCTGGTGCTGCACTCGTAGTCTATAAATATATATCACACATATAGGTCCTGAAATGCCGAGATATTGTTGATTTATTTCGGCACGAATTGTATTTAATTAGGACCGTTCCGGCCAGCGACACCAGTTCCACGTGTTGCGCGCATGCGGAGGCACGATGCACTCGCGCGTCGCCACGTCCACTTGACTCAGCTCTACGCACTCTGTCAGCCTAACATACTACTAGTATTACTAGTAGTAGTACCTTGTAGCGTAAACTGGTACAACGGGGGCATGTCCACATTGTTAGGGAGGCACGCTTGCGGTTGCCTACAACTCCATCAAGTACACCACATATCATTTCAGGCAGCATAGCTATACATAAATATATATATTCATACATACATGTATATATCATATATATATTCATAAATACATATATGTATATATTGATAAATACAAATATCTATATATCCATACAAACATATATAATATATTCATACATATATATATATATATGTAAAAGAAAGAATCCCGAGATGGATGGAGTACTGTGGATACTATCGACCACACACATACATATGTACGACTAGTACTACTAGAGTCAATTCCCACCACACCATATAATTATATATATATATAAATACATACCGCAACTCGTCAAAAAAAGGGTGCGCCGCCGCCGCTAACGGATGCAACCGTCTACACGAATATGTACCACGACTTCGTTAGACCAAATTCCACCAACTAGTAGTTGGATACTACCAACTACTAGTATACTGTAACTGATACTAACCAACTACTCGTACTACTACTTTAACACAGTACCTCGCCGGAGAGTACGTGAGCATGCGCTGCAGCAGATCCAGCGCCAGGGGCGGACATGTGTCGGGCGGGAAGACGGACGGGAGGCGCGGGTGCACTCTGGGGAGGCGGAAGTCCGTGTGCTTGGGGTTCATGGCCTCCAAATCGGCGCGGGAGGGGGTGCCGACGACTTTGATGATGTTGAGCAGCTGATCGACGCCGCTTTCCCCAGGGAACAGAGGCTCCAGAAGCACCAGCTCTGCAAATACACACCCCAGGGACCACATGTCTACGAAACATGAATGTAACAGGCTAGTTGTCGAAATATAACAGACTAGTCGATGAAATATAACAAAGGCACGGGTCACGCATAGAACAGAAGTGGAAGTGTTTTACATAGTCCACATACCAGAAATATAACAGAACGTCCGAATTGTAACAGAAAACCGGTAGACATCTCAGGCACATAATAGAGGAAGCAGAAAGATATATAACAGATATTACCAGCGTGGTGAAATTGTTATAGCACAGTCCACATACCAACCATACAACAGAACGTCCGAATTATAACAGTTTGTGTCAAGTGGAAGGGATACCGATGGCGGTGGTGTAGTCGGTGGCGCCAAGGATGAGTTCTGGGGCCCGGTAAAAGCGAGAGCAAATGTACGACACGTTAGGCTCGGAGGGCTGCAGCATCTTGGCGCTATGAGTCATCTCCGTGAATATGGCAGAATACATGAGCATTATGACGGACCTGCCAAAGTCGCACAGCTTGATGACGTGGGTGCTAGGATGGAGAAGGACGTTCTGGGGCTTGATGTCGCGGTGGCAGATGCCGAGGGAGTGCAGATACCCGAGCGCGCAGCACAGTTGGTACACGTACAGCTTGACGTAGATCATGGGGAGACGCGCACGGCGTTCCTTCATCTGGCACACGACGCCGTAGATGGTCTGGGGAACGAACTCGAGGACGAGGTTGAGGTACAGGTCGTCGCTCTGCACATGATGATTAGGCTCAATTGCGACACAGACACGGGAGTCGGTGGCGTACGTTGTCGACGTGCGAGTAGAAGCAATGCTTGAGCTGGACGATATTCGCGTGGTGCAGCTGCCGCATGATCTGAAGCTCGCGGTTCTTGATGCGCTTGTCCTGAAAGATCTTCTTGATCGCGACCACCTCCCCCGTTTCCACGACCACCACGTGGAACACTGCGCCGAACGATCCGTATCCGATCTGCCGCTCCACGTGGTAATGGATCGTGCGACCCTAGGAAGAACATGTCGCCATGAGACACATCCTCTTGGCACTTCTACGTACATCCGACAGCACATGCGAGGAATCCTCGAGCGTAATGCTACGTATGGCCGCCTCCGCGTCCATGATCACTGAAGCAGTGGATTTCATCGCATCCGGACGACACCCCGTACATTGTACCGTACACTGTATAGTGTACCGTACACTGATCAACCCATAGTTGATTGCGCAACTCGGAACTGTCCGCCGAGCCAATATCATTTTCCCAGGCGGCGGTCGCTCCACAAGCTTTGGAGCACTTCAACTTAGGCTAGATGCATAGCTGGGGTATGGGTGCACACCGATGCCAACGCAGGATTCAAGGTGTCCTAGCCAGGATTATACCGCCGTACTGTATTCACAGACTAGGACAACCGATGCAACTTCATATGAAGCTGGTGGACATTTCACTGCCAATGCACTGTACAAAGTTCAACTTGCCCCGTTCACCAACTAATCCCGTCTGTCGATACTGGTTGCGCAATAGTAGATGCCACATTCGCGATCCGGTTAAGTTTCCGGATGTTAAAGGCAGACCACCAAGAAAAACACTTGCGTTCATTATGTGGCTCAGTTAAATGTCAGGTGTACGAATCGCATTACACAAGCCCAGTTGAATACATGCTTTCTAAGGTAATGTTAAAATGCGTATGTATTGAATGTATGTAGAATGCAAAACAAGATGTAGGCTATTAAATGCGTATATGACATACAAACACCAAGTCATATTTTCGTACTTGATTGAACCCACTCCAACTTGATGCTTTCGTTTTTTCGAGTATTGTCCTAGGGATGTATCTTTCATTTTTGCAATTGCATCCTCCATGTGGAAGCTCACCCCGCTCACTTCCCGCGCCATGCCCAAGCTCCCGCTCGCCGCCGCCGCGACCACCACGCGCTCGTTCCAGTCCAAGACGTTCCAAGACCATGTGCAGACGGCGACCATGTCAGACCGCACCGAACAAATCCTCGCCGGCGGCCGACATCTCTTTCCCCTCCTTCCCAAGGCATTTGCCGGTGTCAAGCAGATCGGCGTTGTGGGTTGGGGTTCTCAAGCTCCCGCACAGGCCCAAAACTTGCGCGATTCCTTGAAAGGAACGGACATTCGCGTGAAGGTCGGTCTTCGCTCGAACTCATCCTCGCTGCCCAAGGCTCGGGCCGCGGGCTTCACGGAAGAAAGCAACACGTTGGGCGATCAGAACGACGTCCTGGCCGAATCCGACTTGGTGCTCCTCCTTATCAGCGACGCCGCCAGTGTGTCGTCGTACAAGGACATTTTCGCGCGCTTGAAGCCGGGGGCTACTCTCGGTTTGTCGCACGGGTACCTCCTCGGCCACTTGGATTCCGTGGGCGAAGCGTTCCCTCCGTCCATCAACGTTGTCATGGTAGCGCCCAAGGGCATGGGTCCGTCTGTGCGTCGACTGTACGTCCAAGCGGCGCAGAACAACGGTGGCACCGCCGGCATCAACGCCAGTGTCGCCGTCCACCAAGACGTGAACGGCCGCGCGACCGACCACGCGCTGGGGTGGAGTGTCGCGTTGGGATCCCCATATTCGTTCCCCACGACCCTGGGCGAAGAGTACAAGTCGGACATTTACGGCGAGCGCGGCGTGCTCCTCGGCGGCGTGTACGGCCTCATCGAAGCGCTGTTCCGCCATTATGTCCACCAAGGCAAGTCGCCGGCGGAAGCGTTCCACGACGCCGCCGACAGCTTGACCGGGCCGCTGAACACGCTCATTTCCCACCACGGACTGCTCGCCGTCTACGATGCATTTGAAGGCGCCGACAAGGAAGCGTTCGAGACGGCGTACACGTCGGCGTACCATCCGTCGCGCGAAGTGCTCGAGGAAATCTACGACGAAGTGGCCAGCGGCAACGAGATCCGGTCCGTCAACATGGCCGTGGACCGCCAAGCGCGCGGGTTCCCCATGCTCGCGACGCTCGAACACCGCTGGATGTGGAAGCTCGGCGACGAACTGCGCCGCTCCCGCGACGCATCCAAGCTCAAGCTGCACCCGACCACCGCCGGCATGTACGTGGCCATGATGATGGCGCAGATCGATGTACTGCTGTCGCATAACCACGGGTACTCTGAGATTGCGAACGAGAGTGTGATCGAAGCCACCGACTCGTTGAACCCGTTCATGCATGCCCGAGGAGTGGCATACATGGTGGACAACTGCTCCATGACGGCGCGCCTCGGTACGCGCAAGTGGGCTCCGCGCTTTGACTACACGCTGACGGAGCAGGCGCTGAGCGTCGGCGGCGACAGCAAGACCCCCCTCGAAAAGAAGGAATTGCTCGCCAAGTTTACCAGCCATCGCATCCACGATGTCCTCAACACGTGCTTGAAGCTGCGCCCAGACGTGGACATCTCGGTCGTGTAACTCGCGCCACACTGTCGATTTTTACATACATTCAATATACATACACTCTCGTCGTCGCACTACACAGTACAGTGCTGTACCCAAGAAGCGACGGACGACATCGAGCTGTTTACATGCACGAGGAAGGGGATTGTGTGCTTGGTCCCCATGGATACAGAGAATGGCGTATGCTGTCGGTCGGAAGCATGACAAAGTCCAATGATGATGCGTGAGTAGAGGAGGAATGTTGTGTTAATCGTCCAACGTGCCGTCGTAATAGTCTACTTTGAGCAGTCGTCCGTCGAGTTCCTAGGAGAAAGCATGCATCATCACGTAGATGCGAACAGGCAGACAAGGGTGGGTACCTGGCCGTTCATGGCAAGAATGGCGCGAAAGGCGTCGTCGGCTTTCTTGTAGCTCACACACCCGGTCAAGTAGATGTTTTCTGTCTGCGTCGGCGCGAACGATACTATGGACGCGACATGCATATGAGGGATGGTTGGACGTGGCGTCAAGGATGCACAATACCTTTGAGGATAGGACCAAATGGTTCGAAGGCCTGCTGAAGGCGCTGCGCATCCGTTCGCCAATGGATCCCTGTAATAGATGAGAACATGCTTCCAAGGAACGTCGTCTAGTCCCATCTGGACATACCTTCCACGTAGATGTTGGTTGCGAACGACCGCCGCAACAAGTTGCGCGCTACAACCAAGGATGCCATGTCCGAAATGAACAAAGAAATGTTGAAGTTCTCTATCTATTGGCTAAAATAGTATTATATTACGAAGCGTTGATTGGTCGATATTAATCCAATAGCGAATCAAACAACTTGATTTGAAATAATATACTCCATTATATCCAATCAAAGTGGCGCATTGGAGATCCAAGCAGGGGGGCGAAAAAAAGTCGAAACTTCTGACATGAGCAAGCCGTCGATGGCGGCGGCGGCGGCGGTAGCGCCGCGACAACCGGATGGAGCAGAGAACGACACGAGGGGTATTGGTATCTCCAACTCGACCCACACCATGGCAGATGTAAGTACACCCTTCCTCCTCCTCGGTGTACTTACTGTACATCATGGCGACATGATTGTAGGGCAAAACGATTCATTACTCAGCCGAGAGGATCATCGGCAATGGAAGCTTTGGGGTCGTATTCCAGGCATCGATCGAAGAGACCAATGAAGTGGTGGCGATCAAGAAGGTGCTGCAGGACAAGCGGTTCAAGAATCGGGAGATGCAAATCATGCGGCAGCTGCAGCACGACAACATTGTCCAGCTCAAGCACTGTTTCTATTGCAACGGCGAAAAGGTACTTCCCATGTCACCATCCCCGCCTTGGTCATCGTCGTATCCTTCCTCGCTTCCCACACGTAGCCCGACGAACTGTACTTGAACCTGGTCATGGAATACATCCCCGACACATTGTACGGCGTCGCGCGGCAACTCCAGCGCAGCAAGCAGCTCATGCCGATCGTACTGGTCAAGTTGTACATCTACCAGATCTGCCGTGCGTTGGGGTACACGCACTCGATGGGCATCTGCCACCGCGATATCAAGCCCCAGAACCTGCTGTTGAATCCCACGACTCATGTAGTCAAGATCTGCGACTTTGGCAGGTACATCGAGTGTCGTGTTTTCCCACTCCACGTGTCTCCTCCACTAGCGCCAAGATGCTCCAGAAGAACGAACCCAATGTGTCGTACATCTGCTCGCGATACTACCGCGCGCCCGAGCTCATCTTCGGCGCGACAGACTACTCCACGGCCATCGACGTGTGGTCCCTCGGGTGCGTCTTCGGCGAACTGCTGCTCGGGAGCCCCTTGTTCCCCGGTGAAAGCGGCGTGGACCAGCTCGTGGAGATCATCAAGGTCCTCGGCACCCCCACAAGGGACCAGATCGAAGCCATGAACCCAAATTACACCGAGTTCCAGTTCCCTCAGATCCAGGCGCATCCGTGGAGTAAGGTCTTTCGCAGTCGGACGCCCCCAGAAGCCATCGACCTCATCGCGAAAATGCTCGAATACGACCCCATCAAGTACGTTTGTACTGTATATATATATATATATATATATATACTATGATGTTATCCTGAACTTTAGCCAAAATGTGGCTAACTTTTGTGCTGATTTGCCAAATCTCTGAATTTTGTATGTAAAAAAACGCCAGCGGAAATGCTTATCAGACTAATTGAAGGCACACACTACTTCGCTGTTGATTGGTTGAACTGATCATGTCCTGGAATCTGATTGGCTCAATACTTTTTACTTCCGATTCTCGTTTACATTTGGACGTCGCTCCGGTTTTGAATAAACAAAACAATATGAATTTAAAGTCTGATGGTTGGTATATATACTGTATGAATGTATATATTTGGTATTGGATATGTAGAGGGTTTGTATACTGTTGTCTATATATATATATATTATATTATTATATTACAGCCATTGGTATTGAAGATTTGTAACGTTTTTGGGATTTGGGATCTTGGGTATATATATACATAAACATACATACATATATATTTCTTGGTGTGGTGAGATCTCTCTATGTATTCATGCTGTGGATATTGTGTTGTATATATATATATTCTATCCTTGTCAATTGCACTAAAACTTTAGATTCTATTTGCTCCGTAGTTTCTATATATGTATATAAATATATTGCAATATCTCCATGTTTATGGGCTGTGGGTAGACGTATCAAGCCGCTGGAGGCCGCCGCGCATCCATTTTTCGACGAACTGCGTCAAGACCCGTCGATTAGTCCGCTTGTGCTTCCCCAGAACGTGCCCCCGCCCGTGCTGTTTGACTTTACATGGCAAGGTACTGTTGTCCAAATGTCCTTGGTTTGCTTGGTCGTACAACCAAATGTCCTTGGTTTGTCTCTCCAGTATGACGAGACTGTGTGTGATTTAGAGCTGAAAAGTGTGGACGTGGCGACGCGGGACATCCTGGTACCCAAACATGCGCGGACGGCAACCAACTGGCCGGACGTAGTTGGGGCAGAGGCGGGAGGCGGGGGAGGAGGTCCTCCGCCGGTGGACGCACCTGCCGACTCTGAACAACGTGAGTGAGTAGGAGCAAGTACCTGTAGCCCCCCTAGCAATATGACCAATGTTTTATACTACTACTCTAACGATATCAACCAGAATCTCGGAAATCTAGTAGTTCTAGGCTGGAATACTAGTAGTAATAAGTTACTACTAATACTGCTAACCCTATTAATACATAGTACTGTACAATGGGTTGATCTGCACCATGAGATATAACACACGTGAATATAATTACACAATATCATTCAATATAATATCAATTCACAATGTCAAGTGAACAATCAAACACAGGACTGTACAATTTATTAATAATACTAAGTATTTCAATAAATTGCTCAAATTAAATTACTATACCATGAGATATAACACACGTGATCGAACACATAATACTAAGTATTTCAATAAATTGCTCAAATTTATAATTAGTATATATTGGTACTAACTTCCAGTTAATAGTATTAATACTACTATTAATAGTTCTTTACAGCCCAAAAGGCAATATTAGTTATTTGTTAACGGCTATGCTCTGGCCGCGGCAGGTCGTCTAACAAGATGGGAGGGAGGTGGGGTTCTAGTTTGGAGTTTGGATGTGCGTTTCTTGGGCGGGGACGACTTGGTGTCATCGAGGAAGTCGAGGTGCACGCGCATCGACTTGTGCGCCAGCCGCGGCGACTTTCGCTTTTGAGACGCGTCGGCCATGGACGGAAACACGTCGCCGCTCATGCGCTTCTTCCCGCCGGATCTTCGGTTCACAGTGGGGGTCGTGTGCACGGTCGGGACGGGTGCAGGTTGGGACGCGAGCTCTTGAAGGCACGACGCGACGAGAGGACACAAGAGGGTTTCGGCGAGGTTGTGGAACGCGCTGAGGGCTTTGCGGGTGATGGGCCAAGCTTCCAAGCGCGCGAGGGTACAAGAGTCGCGGAAGAGTCGAAGCATGACGCGACGAGGTAGCGCGTACGGGTTGTCCTCGTTGTGCTTGTGGTCGGGAGTAGTGTCTGGGGCTTCGCAGTCGGAGAATTCACCGTCGCCCAGTGATACCGTATCGTCATCGTTGTCGTCATGGGTGTCGCTGTCGGAGCTGTCGCTGTCTGAAGATTCAACTGGCGCGGAATAGATGACGTCGTCGTCGGCAATGTGTGGTGGTTCGGACTCGACCACGTCGTCCGTCTCGCGATGCAGCAAGGCCAGTCGAGAGTCGTCGGGGGCGTCGTAACCATACAGCTTGACACCCACTGCGTGTGCCGCATGCACAACATCGTATGACCGTACAACGTACTGTTGCCGCCCGTCGGCGACATCCGTGATGTGGGCCGTGGCCGTGGCGACATGGGTGAGAAAGGCCTCGGTCAGGACGGTCACTTGTTCTTTCGTCACATGTGGAAGCAATGCCAAGTCTGCCTTCTTCATTGCGTCATGGATCATGCGCTCCACGCACCCTTCCAAGTGTTCTTGCTTGAGCCACGACACGTATCCCATCTTCGCTCGTCCTTCGCGCCAACTGCAGAATTGAGAAATGACACGGATTCAATATTCCCGCCACCGTCAAATCGAATAATCCGGATAATGGTAGCTTGGTGGCATTTGATTGGCCAATCCCTGGCGGCAGTCGAGATTTTCAGCGGTGCGGTGAAATCAAGCGGCAGGGTGGCCCGGAACGAGGCTTACAGTCTACGTACGGGTGCTCCAACATACAATGCATTTGCTGGCTGTATACATGACTTGGCTAGAGCTTGATTAACCGACGCTTTCGTTTTGGTGCATCGCTCGTGGCCCTAGCCAGATGCATGTGAAGGAACGACTTGCAACGATGGATTGTGGTATCAACTTACAGTTGGTTAACATCAAGAAAGGATAACGGCATCGTTGTCTTATAAGTGCTGCAATGCTAGGCAGTTGGAATTACTGCCGACGACATGTATGCCAACATGGCCTGTGGAATCAAATGCACACAAGGACAACAACAATACGTCCCTCGCCCTCCTTTGTTGATGCTTTACGATGCAAACATACACATCCAGTTCACTATTCTATGAACTGAGGCCCTCATGTAAATAACGTTACCTGCTGTACATGACACACTCGATAGCGGAAGGAACCATACACTGAAGCCATCGATGTCTACCACCTTATTCACTCAAATGACGAACAAACTCCGAGTGCTTTCTAGTAAACAATTGCATCTAATCAAACGCTCATCTATCTTTACTCGTTCTTGAGCACAATGCGGAACCGAGCTTGGCCATCGTGCACCTTTTGCATGGCGGCGGCGGCATCTTTCATAGCCATCACTTCCACGATCGAGTTGACGTTTTTGTCGACAGCAAACTGCAGCATGTCTTCAATGTCAGCTGGGGACCCAATCACGGACCCAACGAACGAGATTTCACGCGGCACGATGGAGAACGCATGGAACGAGATGGGCACTTCCGGCAGCCCCACGAGCACGAACTTGCCCTCGGTGGCTACGAGGCCCAGCAGCATGTTCCAGTCCGTCTTATCGCTGTACGACGTGCACAGAATGACGTCGAGCGACTGGCTAGCGGCGGCCACCTGCGCCGGGTCCGAGTAGTTGACATACTTGTGCGCGCCGAGGAGGTCCCTGCACTCGCGCTCCTTCTTGCCCGACGACGACAGCGCCGACACCGTCGCGCCCATCGCCACGGCCCACTGAATTCCCAAGTGCCCCAAGCCCCCGATGCCCAACACCCCCACGTTCATACCTGGCCCGACGCCGAACTTCTTGAGCGGCGAGTATGTCGTTACACCAGCGCACATCATGGGCGCGGCGCTCTCGGACGTCAACCCGTCCGGAATTACAAACGCAAACTTGTGGTGGCATCGGTAATAGTCAGCGTACCCACCTTGCGTGACGTACTTGGCTCCGTTCGGGAGGTCCATCGTGCTGTTGTACGTCCACTTCATGTCCGGACACAGCTGTTCGCGGTCCCGCCCGCAGGCCGAGCAGTCGAGACAGCTGGCGCACTGAGCCCCCACGCCCACGCGGGTGCCGAGAGCAAACTTGGCCGGGTCTACTAGCCGACCAACGCGGACGACGTGGCCGATGATCTCATGCCCGACGACCATGGGGTACGGAATGGGGCCCCACCCGCCAGACACGGTGTGCAGGTCGGAGCCGCAAATGCCGCAGTGTGTGACCCGGATCTCTACGTCGAAGTCCTCATCGAACGGCTTGGGGGTGAACGAGTGGGGCTTGAGGTCGAAGCCTGGCACGAACGCAGCTTGCCCTGTGTACGTGTCGATGGAAGGAGATGACATCGGTAACTAGTAACGTCAGTAGTTGTTGTCTGGTGTAGTGTGAGTTCGAAGACGAAACTTTGAGAATGAAATGGGAAACCAAGCAAGTGATGTGTGATTGCGAAGACGCTCGACTCGACGAATCACTGATCACGGAACTTTGCTGTTGCCATGTGGTATTAAAAATACCTCGAGTATCAAAATACAACTGTGTCGAGTCGACGATAGTGTTAACCGTGAATGTAAGGAAGTCCACCGACTTCAGCATGTCAGCCCTGCAACAGAAACCCAACAGCTTTTGAACGTTCAATTCTACAATTATGACCTGCGTTTCAAGGACTGTCAAGTTAGCAGTACCCATGGAACTTGTTGAATGAACTGGTTGGTGGTCGTACATATCTACACCTAACTTGTCATCATGTACTCCGGAGTATTATGGCCACAGGAACAAAGGGATGACCTTACTAATAATACTAGTAGTAAACTACTCCTACTAAAGTAATAAAGTACTACGAGGGATTACAGCATTACAGGGAAATACAGTACTCGCACAAGGTGAGTATTTTCGCCCAGGGACGAATCCTGGTCAGAATATCAACTTCACCATCGGTATATTATGAGCGCGAACGAGCGACAATCGACTAACAGTAAGATACCACTACAGTACAGTACTACAGTAAGTATGTACTGACAGTGAGTTTACCACCATTATAACCATGCACTATTGTCGCCAAGAGGTCAAACTATTTAATACTATTAATAGTACGACGAAGCACGCCAGTTTTGTGTACTACTAGTACGTACTAGTAGTACTACACTCACATTTTGTGGGATATCTCCGCAACCAATGGGAGTTGCGAGCTGCTGTGCCAATTAGATTGCTGGAAAGGTGGTTATGCCTACATGGAGCGATCTCCATGTCATCACAAGGACTTTCTATACAACAGTCGATTTTAGCACGGAATGGAGATAATGCATACACATACTAAGATAAACAGAGTGAATGTCAATATTGAAAAGGTTTGTCTGGTAACGTTAACGTTATACTAACTAGTAGTACGAAGTAGCCAATCAAATCCACACTTCGACGAAATCATCACGAGTTAGTGTGTAAATGAATTAGAAATCTATACTGGACCACTTTTACATGCAAAAGTACATCTGTCACAGAATCAATAGAAAGATGTGGCGAATCAGCACAAAAGTCCTAATTTGGGTAAAAAGACAATACACCATGTAACAACACAGATAATAACTGGCCAAATCACTGTCAACCCCAATTCAAAACGATGTAACTGCCGCGACTGTTCAAGATCCTCAATGTCCGTGCGGGTGCCAGCGGTAGGCACCAAACCCGTGCGCAAGCAGCCGATTCGCCATGCGTCTTACAACGACACGAGCGACGGCAGCGCCGACAGCTTCAACCCAGCCATGTGTTCGTTAGTCGACAAGCGCGAAGTGTGCGCCGCGGTGCTGCGCGAAGGGCTCGTGCAATCCTTCGTGGACCTATTTTACCTCGTGCATCGAGTGGATACTCACGGTACTAACCAGGCTTAGGCAGTACGAAGTACTATTCATTTTTGCATAACGACAATGTATGATGTTGTAGTCACGGCCGACGGACATGAAAAGAAGGAGGCAGTGGCGATCTCCCCTGCACAGATGACGTTTCTCCGAGATCACCTCACGGCAGCCGAGAAAGCCCGGCGACAAGGTGACGTAATCCACGTGTTTGAGTCGTACGAGCGGCTCGCGGTCCATTTCATGGTAGTCCTGTACCCCAAATACATCAATAATATACATGTTCATTTCAACCTATGGCTGACCCTAGAACCAACACGACCTGCGCACGGGCGTGTTCTTTTACGAAAAGTGCCTCGAAATCGCGCGTATCTCGCGCAACCAAGACTTTGAGCTGGCAGCGCTGGAAAACTTGGGCAACGCGTACTTTGGTCTGAAGGAGTTTGACAAGGCCAAGGACAACCTCGAAAGCCACCTCGCGCTCATCACGACGTTGAGAGGGCCGCCGGGTGCCATTGCGTCCAACAACAACCACACCGCCCAACCCGCCATGGCCCAGCTGAGCAAAGTGTACGAAGAAGTCGCAAGGCAGCACGAAACCAAGGCCGAGTACGACCTCGCCATTGGCATCCACGCCAAATTTCTTCGAGTACGTTGCCTGGGTTCTATATATCTAATATATATATTGGCCGATTTCTCGAAGTTACTGCATCGTACCTGCGCTTGCCTAAGTCGTTTCTATATAGGTATAGATAGATACATGACAAGGAGGAATCGCGAGTATATGGAGTTGTTGGGTATTGAAAGCTCGATCGCTTATTATATATGTAGTGCGCCCAAGAAGCCAAAGACTTGGCGAATGTTGCGGCGGGGCATTTCCGCATCGGGTGCTGCTTTAACGCGATGCACCAGCCCACGGACGCCCTCGTGTACCTCAAGGATTACGTACGTCCTATTTATGGTTGTAATGTACCTAGTAGCGATATGTTGTATGTCAGCTAGCCATTTAGGTGGAATGAACGTACGATTTTGTCGATGAATTTTCTTTACCGGTGAAAAAAGCGTTTATCTTGTTGTTTTAGCTCATCATGTGCAAGAACTTGGGGGATGCTGAAGGGGAATGCAATGCCTATGCAGCCCTTGCAACGACCTTTGAAGCGCTAGGCCATGCGTCTCAAGCGATGGATTACCTCAATGAGTACCTCATCACCGCCGAGAAAATACGTACTCAATAGTAATTACGTACTTCTACTTGCTGAACGTCCAATAGAAAACGTGGTCGCCCAAGCCGAAGCGTGCCGACGCCTCGGGCTGCTGTACAGCGCCGCGCGGAACTTCACCTTGGCGGCGGAGATGATGGAGCGCAACTTTGATCTGATAAAAAACGCGGCCAAGAGCGACACCGCCCTCCTGGACCAGGCCAGAATCAGCCTCGGCGTAATCCGGGCGCACCAAAAGTTCGATACTTTTGTCAACTTTGTCACAGCCGACGTTGACGGACTGCTCAAGTGGAAGGCGGCTAGGACCATCGAGCCCAATGCGTCCTAGTAGTACGAAACGACCAAGGCTGTCAAATGCCAACAAATATATATATATACATACAGTATATATTTCGTACTATTATACTACTTCGAAGTATTCCTTACTTCATGGTGTCCAACTCAGCACAAAATGCCTGTCGTACGGGCAAACTATCAGTAAGGTGGCGCCACCACCTTGCCAGTACCAAGACAATACTAGTATGGCCCCGTTGACAAGTGCAATGTGTACTAGTATTACTATACTGTGGGTATGTATGGAAGTGGGAAGGTCACCCCAAGAGGATGTTGGTATCGCGGAGAATCTTGACTTCCACGGCCAGCGCCTGCATCTCGCGCTTCTCAGCGTTGATCACATGCATGTGGCCTTCTCGATCTTGCACCACGACGTGCAATTCCGAGCTCGACGACATCGTCTCGGTCCTTGAGGTGTCGTCCATATCGGGCACAATTCGCGGGCCAGTGGTTGCCGTGGAACGCTGAGATTCCTCGACGTCTTCTGTGGCTGACTTGTTGTCCCTATTCGCCCGGTGGGGGTGGGGGGACTTGGACTTGTACGTGGCGGCGGCCAGGGCGCGCATCACATGCGGCTGTTCTGGCAGCCCAAAGGAGGTCAAATGGCTTGCCAGGAACCAGCGAAGCGTGCACCAGGCGCGGATCTTCATGTCCACACACGTGCCCCCGTAGCCAGGCTTGTCGACCACGGCGCCTCGGATTTCGGACAAGATGGACGTGGAGTTGAATACAAGTTGGCGGCCGAGCGAGTTGCGGGCCAGAGATCGCCACAACTTTCGATTGACAATGTGGTCTAGCGCCAGGAGACCAGCCAAGTTGCCGATGACTCCCGCCGCGAGCGTAGGCAACGCCCGAACGTACCAGCTCTCAAAGAAGAAAACGTAGGTGGCGTCCAAGTTTTGGGTCGTCGAGTGCAAGTCGACGATCACCGAGTTGCCAAATTCGACGAACGCGTTCCTTTCAAACAGCAGCAGCACGCTCAGGTACATCCACGTGACTGAGCTAAAGTTAAGCCACCCCATGACCGTGTTGGTGCCCGTGTACTGCGCCATGCTCACAAAGTGGCACATCCACTTGGCGGCTTTGAGCAGGAAGCAGTTGAGCCACAGCCACCGCACGGTCATAGACATGAGACGCAGCTCGATCCACAGGTCAAACCCGCTGTTGGCGTACCACCGATTGAGTATCCTGGAATAGATCATGCTGATCTCTTCATCCAAGAGCACTGTTAGCGTATAGAGCACGACAAAGATGTCGCTGTTGAAGCAAATGTCACTCAGGCCAATCGCGGTACAGGGCTGGCGGTACAGAGGGGGGGCGATCAACCGAAGGAGGCGTTGGGGCAGCGTTTGCTGGGTAAAGTCCATCCACTGGACGGTCTTTTGACTGGCAGCGTACACGCCAAAGAGAAGCAGGAGCGTTGAAAACCGAATATACAGGGCTGCAATTGGACCCCCTCGACGCTGAATAATGATCCCTAGCTCGTGACTGCCGCCCATAATGGCTTTGCTGGTTGTAATTTCAAGCGACTTGGCGTTTTCGTTGTACGTATACTCGATCACACAAGTGTCCAGCCCGAGCTCCGTGATAGGCACGCACCCCGAGCAAAACGCTTTCAAGAAGTACCGGTACATGAAGACGGATCCCGTCGTCACTTGGCCGGGCGGGGGGAGGACGAGGGGGGTCGTGAGGCGGAGGTCCGTGCTGTGCCGCCCTGGGGTGTACCCCATAGCCCGTAACTGCGTCTC